CGACTCCCAGCTCATTGTCAGCCAGATTACGGGGGAATTCAATGCCAAGGAGGACACAATGCGGGCTTACAGGGATATGGCACTCCCCCTTGTTCGCCTCTTCAATACCTTCTACATCAAGCACATACCTCGGGCGGAAAACTCCAAGGCAGATGAGATGGCTCAGTTGGCCTCTGCAGACCAGTCCGACCTCAGCCACGGGGTCCGCCTCGAATACCTAGCCCACCCGGCCATCTCACCCGACCTACAAGAAGTGCAGTTCCTCCAAAATGAACCCATCCCTTGGGCGTCCGACATCTTCCTATTTTTAACAACAGGGGAACTCGCAGATGACCAACAGCAGGCCGCCAAAGTCAGGGCCCGGTCGTCCAATTACATCCTGGTCAGTGGCATCTTGTACAAACGTGGTTTTTCACGACCATACCTGTGATGCCTTAATTCGGCTCAAGCAACCTATGTAATGCGGGAAATCCATGAGGGAATTTGTGGTAATCATTCGGGCGGTAAGTCTCTAGCCCACAAAATACTCCGTACTGGTTATTTCTGGCCAACTCTCAATCAAGATGCGACTGATTTCGTGCTCAAATGTGATAAGTGTCAACGTTTTGCCAACATCCCCCATGCTCCTCCTACAGAGTTGATCACACTTTGCAGCCCTTATCCGTTCGCCAAATGGGGGATCGACTTGGTCGGTCCACTTCCCACCGGCCAAGGCCAGACCAAATTCGCGATTGTCACCATTGATTACTTCACCAAGTGGGTAGAGGCAGAACCCCTTGCCATCATTACCGAACGGAACACAACCAAGTTCATCTGGCAATCGATCGTTTGCAGGTTTGGCATCCCTCAGGCCATCGTCTCCGACAACAGCAAACAATTTGACAACGCCAAGTACAGGAAGTTCTGTGCTGACCTCCAGATTCAACCATGTTTCTCTTCCCCCGGTCATCCCCAAGCCAATGGCCAAGTTGAGGTCACCAACCATTCTCTCCTTAAGATCATCAAAACTAAGCTAGAAGCTGCTAAGGGACTTTGGGCTGAGGAATTACCGAATGTACTCTGGGCTTACCGAACTACAGCTCGGACTCCCACTGGGGAAACCCCTTTCCACTTAACATACGGCGCTGAGGCAGTTATTCCAGTAGAAATCGGTCTGCCTACTCCCAGAGTTTTACATCCGGATCCAGCACTAACCGAAGAGTTCCGTCGGGCAGACCTGGACCTAATTGAAGAACTTAGAGAGACCACCGCTGTCAGACTGGCCTCATACCAACAAAAAATGAGAACACACTACAACCGCACAGTCCGACCAAGGGAGTTTGCTGTAGAGGACCTTGTCTTGAGAGAAGCAACTCTTGCCACCAAAAATCCGATTGAGGGTAAACTGGCAGCCAAATGGGAGGGACCTTACGTTGTGAAAGCCCGACCACATCCGGGCACTTACCAACTTCAGGACATGAAAGGTCGAGACCTCCTCCACCCCTGGAACGATGAACACTTGAAGCGCTACTTTCAATAAGTTTCTACTGTTGTATTGCTCAGTTGTTGTATTTTCTTTTTGATGCATAATGTAAACTTTGATCGACTGGACTACACTGTCCAGGACAACAATTCTATATCTTAGCTATTTGTGTGTTATCTCAATAACATTCTCATTTGCAGCACTTATTAACAGCCTCAGCCAGACTGAGCATTAAAAGCCTCAGCCAGACTGAGCACCAGAAACCTCGGCCAGTCCGACCGTCAAAAGCCTCAGCCAGACTGAGCACTAAAAGCCTCAGCCAGACTGAGCACCAGAAGCCTCGGCCAGTCCGACCGTCAAAAGCCTCAGCCAGACTAAACACCAGAAGCCTTGGCCAGTCCGACCGTCAAAAGCCTCAGCCAGACTGAGTACTAAAAGCCTCAACCAGACTGAGCACTAAAAGTCTCATCCAGACTGAGCATGAAGCACTCGGCCAGACCAAGCCTCAGCTAGCCTAAGCATAACAAGTCTCAGCCAGACCGAGCGCCACAGTTTCAGGTTCAGACTGAGTTACTTACAACGTCAGTGAATCATAGCTTAGCCCCAACTGAGCACGAGTGCAGGGCTCGGTCAAGGCCATCCATGCAAACTTCATGATTGTGGAATTAGTGGACACACTTAGTCACAATTCCATGTCCAAGTCTTTACACCTCTCTTTGCTTAGTCAAATTAGTGTAACCAACACAAACTTATAATTTTATTACATTTTAAATTTCACTCTGCATTGAGGAGTTCCTAACTTTACTCTGCATTGAGTTTTTATTACAACTCCAATCCCACTCCGTCTTGAGGAATTCCTAAATTCAGTTTTTATTACAAGTTTAACGCCACTTTGCACTTCACAATGATTCCTGCACAAGCTCCACACACAAGCCACCATTCTCATCCATTTCAGATGCACAAGCAAAAACAATCAAATGCAAAACACAACCGAAATTTATTTATTCACAACTTTGTACATAAGTTCATTACAGCAATTCAAAAAAACAAAAAACAAAAAACAACACAAAACAAAAACAATTCACTCATTCCTCCTCACTGGAGACGAGGTCTTCTTCTTCCATACCCTCATCCAGGGGGGTTTGGGCCACATCGTCTTCACCAATTGTTACACTACTGAGGTCTAAGTCTGGGAACAGTTCTTCAGCTCTACGTTTGAACATCTTCCAGCCACTGTCCCAGAACTCAGCCATTTCGTGTTTGTAGAAGTCTGACTGCTAGAAGCTCTCAATAACTTCTGCTTCAGTTCTACCCCCAGCGGTCGCCTTCGACGGGCCCGCCCCTCCAGACTCCTCCCTTGCCAAGCTGCTGGCGACCGCGGCATCCACTACCATCTGAAATTCAGCAGACCCCTTGAACTGATCCACTGCTGCAACATACAGATCGGGGTAAGCCGCCCTTTTAGAGGCTGTCTTCGCCCTCTCTTCGCCCAAATCCTTCTTCAGGGTTGCCCTTTTAGAGGCTGCCTTAGCCCTCTCTTCCTCCAACTCCTTCTTCAGGGTCTCCCTTTCAGCAGTTGCCTTGGCCTTCTTTGCCTCCAACTCCTCCTTCAGGGTCTCCCTTTCAGTAGTCGCCTTGGCTCTCTCTGCCTCCAACTCTTTCTGAAGGCTCTCCCTCTCCTCCACTGCCTTGCACGCTCGCTCCCCAGCTCCTTCTGCAAATCGTTAATCTTCACGTCTGCTTCATCCTTCTGTCTGACCAGCTCTTCATTACTGGACATCGCCTCTTCATGTTGTTCGAGCACGACCGCGTAGGCTTTTGGGCCTTCTCCAGCTTCCTCTGCTCGCCAGCCAGCTGGAACTCGAGCGACACATCCTGGCGGCGTTCGTTCTCCAGCTCCAACTTGACCGCTTGCAGCTCGGCATGGGTCCTTTCCCAGTTTACACTCTCCTTCTTTAACCTTGCAAGTTGAGCCTTGGCCTCATCTGCCTTGAGTTTTGCAGCCCCCGCCTTCTTCAGCAGAGCCCCTGCTAAGGTGGTTACCTCCATTTGAGCGGAGCATAACCCCCTCAGCAGTTCAGCCTCATTGAATCTGGCTACTGAGTGCAAGGCTGCCTCTTCTACAATCCCCATAAGGCGGTCTACCCCTGCCCTGGCTGGGCCTTCTTCTCCCTCCAGCCGCGCAGCCACTGCACTAGCGTGGTAGATCACGTTAGTCAGACTGACTCCCCCTCCTTGGGGTGCAGGACCCCCCTGGGGCTGTTCTCCCCTCCTTGGCTCAGGGCCAGTTACTCCACCTTCTACTTGCACTTCGGGGGCGGCCCTCGCTACCTCTGTGGCAATCCCCACCACTACTGGGATGACCTCCATCCCCTCTGACGCGATGTCCACCACTTCTGGGACGACCACCCTTCCTGGGGTCTTCTCCACTGCCCCCCTCTTTGCCTCCTTGGCCCCACTGGTCTCTTCTGCCCTCACTTCCCTCCTTCTCTTCAAGGCAGGCTCTTCTTCACTTCTCCTCACTCTCCTCTTCTTCTTCACTACGCCCCCCACCTCCATCTCCTTCAAAGCCCTCTCATTCAAGGGATCTGTTGGGGGCAGTCGTGGCACAAATCCACTTAAGTCTTTTTCTCCCAAGGGTTTGGGGCGAGGTCGGATCCTCTCCCTCGCAACCGGCTTTAGCGGTCGGTCTGCCTGCGACTCTTTGAATTTTTGGGCTTTGGCCAAGATGGCCTGGTCCTCCGCCTCTTGAGCCTTCCTCCTTACCTCCAACTCCGTTCGGTCGAGGTCCCCACCACTCGACTGTGGACCCAACCCTGCCTCAAACAAAGCCGACGGCTGAACGAGCTCGTCCCAGCTGGCCCCTTCCTTCTCCCTCCATTCCTTTACCCTCTTCACCCTCTCCTCTGCTACTTCTCCCAGCTTTGGCTCCACAGACTTGGTGGGCACTTTCCAAATGGTACGCACTCCAACCCCTCCACTGGTAGACACATAGAACCACCGTGGTCTCCACCCCTTGATCAACGACGGCAGCCCCGCCACCAGTCCTTTCCCTGATGCCGCCTGCAGCGTGACCCAAGTCTCTTGCTGCCCCGAGGCCTTGTAGCACGCGAAGAATTCGTCCACTGTCATGGCCGCCCCTTCGTTCGCCTTCGGCCAACATGCGAAGAATTCATCTACTGTCATGGACGTCCCTTCGTTCGCCTTCGGCCACGCACTTGCACAGGCCAGTAAGATCTTCCACACATTGGGCATTAGTTGGCCCGGCGCTACCTCCAAACGATTCAGGACATCTACCACCACTTGCGGCAGGGACAGCCTCAGTCCTCCCTTCAATACTTCCTCATAAAAGGCAAACTCCCCTAGCCTGGCGTCGGATGGCCTCTCCGTCGACATCGGCAACAATAACTCTACTTCAGTAGGCACCTGGTATTTTTTGCGCATAGCCTCCAAATCCGCTGCAATAACCGTTGATCTATCTGCCTTTGTATGCCAGTGATCTGGTTCTGCCTGGCTGATTGGCTTTGGAGCTGCTATCATGGTGGAACCATGGGATCGTACCACCGACTCCCCCACCCTCTCCATCCTATATTGCTGTGCTAACTCCACTACATCATCATCACCAAGTGGATCCACCCTGACATTCGCCGCTTCTTCTTGGGCCATTTCTATGGTATGTCTGCGAATCGCTTCGGATGCAGGTGTAAGGAAATTGAAAAAGTGTTGCAGAGGTGTATCGTGAGCAACAAAGGAATTCACACTTGGAATATTTTGATTTTTCGTAAACAAGTAGGTGAATCGAATAATGCCAAAAGCCCACGGTTTGCCTGTATTCCAAGGATCCCAATTAATTTTCGCCAGTTTGAAAACTTTTCAAATCATCCGCCAAAACTGTCTTTTCAACACCCATAATGACCTATCGTTTCATTTCTGATCCAACGCCTAATCTCCCCCCCCTCGATGGGATGTTGCCACGTGTACGACCACGATCCACTGTCTCCTCCCCTTACCCTGTCTTTCCACTTCAAATCACCACGTAACACGCCGCCTCTCGAGCCCCACGCCCCTCCGCCTCACCCTTCGCAGTCGACCCTCCTCATAGTCGACCCTCCCACTCGGTCAACCTTCGCGGTCGGACCCCTTCGCGGTCGGCCCTCCTCGTGGTCAGCCCTCCCACTCGGCCAACCTTTGCGGTCGGCCCCCCTTTGCCGTCGACCTTTCTCATGGTCGGCCGTCCCACTCGGTCACCCCTCGCGGTCGGCCCTCCTCATGGTCGACCCTCCCACTCGACCAACCTTCGCGGTCAGCCCTCCTCGTGGTCGGCCCTTCCACTCGGTCACCCTACACGGTCGGACCACCTCCCGGTCGGTTCACCCTCTCGGTCACCCCTGCCGGTTGACTTCCATCTTGCCAATTCCTAACACCCTCATTTTCTTCATTAATATTCCCTTCGTTAAACTAAAGCTGCACTCGGGAATGGGGGACTACTGACGTGTATAAGCCCATAAAGGCCATGAACCACTATGAACAACCCAAGCCCATCACTTGGAGCCCAATACATAACCCAGCTGGTGAGGTCCAGAACAGCTGGAATCCAACATGGCATAAAGAGCCAATGACATTCAGACACATGACAAGTGAAGGACGAGCCACATCAGCAAACAAAGATCTGCAAAGTTATTGCCACTGCACATCACCATTAATGCAGCCCATCACAGCATTTATTACGACAACACCTCTCCGTCGGAACATGATCCCCTTACCCTGAACAAGGTAAGCTACAACATAGACTTTCGGCGATGAGGGCAGGTCGGAAGGGACAGCGAAATGATTACCAAAGGATATAAGCAAACGTTGAAGACAAGAAGAAGGTTAAGCTTTCTACCTCTAATCTCTCTCTCTACACCCTATTTTCTCCTTCTAACTTGCTCGTCGGAGGGTTCACTGGGGGACTACCCCATTCCCCGTTGGACTTGTTTGCAGGTTATCCGGTGGGCTTGATCGTTTGGACGTGGGCTTGAGAAGCTTGGACCTGTCCGATCCATTCACTGGAACAAACTGTATCATCATATGATAAATACCTAACTTACCTAACTCTCTATATATAACCCTTACAAGCACCCCTTCTCCTCCTAAAACAAAGAACACATAGGAACAACAGACAAAGAGGCCCCCAAAACCATATAAAAACTCTTACACTCGCCACATTAGCACTCACTAAGAGAAAAGGGGAGGACCAAGAAGCTCACAATGTTGTCCATTTTAGCATTGATGTTGGTGGTGGCAGCAGTGGCGACAAAGGAGGAAGATGAGAAGGAATGCGCCAACCAGCTTGCCAACCTGGTGGCCTGCATTCCATTCGTGAGTGGGGCTGCCAAGAAGCCAACACAGCAGTGCTGCAACGACACCCAGAAAGTGAAGAGTGCCAAGCCCAAATGTTTGTGTGTTCTTATCAAGGAGAGCACTGATCCTTCTATGGGCCTCAATGTCAATACCACTCTGGCACTTCAAATGCCTTCTGCTTGCAACATTGATGCCAAAGTCTCCAATTGCCCCCGTAATTTCTCCAACTATACCAAACCAAAAATAAATGGTTTTATGCTTTGGGATTAGGTTTTTGATCTGTGTATCGACATAGAAATAAATCAAAGAACCAACCACAGATGCAAGGATGCGTCTCGTTTATTCCTGTGTCTAGCATTTTCGTGTGTCAATCTCAATATGTGTCGCTTTGAAGTGTAATTTCTAGTGGGGTGACAATTGCTTGTTTAGCAAATTTTTAGTTGGCTTATTTTCTGTTTTACGGAATTTTTTCAAAAATTTTTATACTTCACTAGGCTAGATAGATCTGAAACAAAAAATAATAATTAATATTTTTTTGAAAAAAATTTACTTAAAAAAATAAATAAATAAAGCTCAAAAAGTGTATCTTTTTTTTAGTGTAGAGAGTGAGTGTTGTCTTGATTTGGTTTAGAATTTTCTAGACTAAACAAGATTGAAAACTTTAAAAAAAAATGACAGAAATCTTAAAAATTTCACTAATTAAAAAAGTTGAAAAGGACAAATTCACTAACGACAAAATTCACTAATCGTTTGTTTAATATTTACAGCTTTACTCAATCTCTCACCAGATTCACCTGATGCAAAGATCTTCAAAGAAGCAGGTGTAGATTCGAGCAGCATGAGCTCAACGACAGATTCACTGCCCACTTCTGCTTCCACTTCATCTGGTTCATCATCATCTTCTTCTTCTGGGACTGGTTCGAGTTTGGAATCAAAAGCCACTCCAAGCAGCAATGATGTAGCAGAGTTGAGTGGAAGCTTGTTGCCGATGATCAGTCTGGTTTCAGTAACATGGATGTTTATTTGAGCTGCAAACAGCTCCTCAGCTCATGTATGAGCTGAAAATGGTGCAGAGAAATTTAGCAGTTTGTTTCCGAGTTTTTCTTTTTTCTTTTCCAGTTTGTTTCCCTTTTCACTAGCATAATAACAAAAATAAGATCAAGAGCACCTGTCTTGTAATGAATTTTCGTTACTGTATTATAAGCTTTCATAAGCTACAACGCAATTCCCAAAAGCCGTTTTCAGTATCAGTTAGCCAAACAAATTTTCTGTGTTTCCAAAAAAAAATGAAAATGAAAATAGAAAACAGAAAATGGAAACATAACCAACCAGACCCCTGTCAAACAAGGGTCTCAAAAGCAAGAAATAAGCTTTCCAGAAAGTTAGCCAGAAAATATGATGACATGGTGTGAAAAACAATCATAAAGAAAATTTGGCAGCCTAAGCAAAGACCAGTTAGAAATTAAGAATTGAACATGGCCTTATAAACAAGATTCAGCAATCTAAACAATGTCAGATTGAAATTAAGAATATCTCTAGATGGGTGCCACTGCACCAAGAGTGCTTCAAGAATTAAAAATGGATGTTATGGAAGGGAATGTGAAGCAAATAGGCAAAGCATGACTGCACAGACAGACAATTCCCCATAAGTTTGTTTTGAGTAAATCTCAAACAGGCAAGGAACTGTTTGTTACAGCTTTTGAGAGGTGATTATAACTTATTTTGATTTGAGACACTATGTCAGACTGTTTGGTACAGCTTCTCCTTATAGCTTATTAGGTAAAAATAACTTAAATAAATTGAAAAAAAACTGATTATTTAAAAGCTAGGGTAAGAGTACTTTTAACTTCTACTTTCTGCTTTATGATTATCGACTTTTAACCTAAAAAAAGTTTCACCAAATAGGACCAAAGCATGACTGCACAAATTAACAATTCTCCATAAGTTTGAGTAAATCTACGTGTACATAGGATTTTCCTAGAATAGGAAAAATGAATTAGTGTGTGAACAAAACACAACATTTGATTAGTCCAAAATTGTGAATTCTACTATTTTAGACCAACAAAGAGGTATGTTTTTGTCCACGCATTTTGGAAGTGTGTGAAGGAATGAATGGGATCCCATATATGGTGAACCCCTAGTGTGACTCACATTTTGGAAGTGTCTCACATTTGTTTTCCATTATGTGAAATTCTTATGAACTAAGGAAAGTTATTAACGCTTCAAAATGCGACATGGGGAAAGGTCAGATAGATCTTTGACATTTATTTGAACTTTGAGAAGTTTGTCTTTAACAGGTGCTCAAGCCCCAACAAACCAAAGCCACAAAGCAGAGGTCAATCCATGTTCAAATCATTCATTCATTCATTCCAGAGAATAGTAGTCAATATTCATGCACAGCCTTCCAACTTAAAATTTGATGTGAATAATTGAAATTGAAAATAATATTATACAAGCTTCACAAGATTATTGATTTGACTCAAACTGTACAACCCGGATTCATTGGCAAAAAAGGGGGGCAAGGTTCAATTTAAGAGGAAGTGTTCCCACTAAAAGAGCAAGTTGATCCCACGATATGATCACATTTAGTGTACCGTGTAACTTCAATCCCCTGATACTTCACACTTGCTGGCTGGGTTCTCCTGTAGATGATGAATTTCCATTGCTGTCACCAATCTCAAATTTACAGAGGGACAGGATGCATTGATCTTCAGCCATTTATCTACGTATTATCTGCGTATTTCGCCAAGCAAATGCAACACACCAAGCAAATGCAACACAATTAAAGAAATGAGAGCAAGGCACCTATCTCAACTCGTCATTATCTGCGTCTCTCGCCAAGCAAATGCGACACACCTGAAAGTATTAAAGCACTCAGCATAGGCCAAAACAAGACCACTGAAAAAGAAACGAAAACAATATAGGTAGAGATGGCAACGAAGTAGGGTGCCTAATGTAGCAAGAACACCTCAATGTTTTCCACTACCTCATAATAACATGAAATAGTGAAGATTAATGCAAGAAGTGGGGCATAACTGACATAATGACTACGATTCACATCTAACATATGTTGGGTTTGTGGAGCTTGATTAGTACGTCACCATGCAAGCGCAGATCCAAGCAAGGGTATGACGGCAATTTGTTGATATAAATCCTAGCAAATATATTATTGACTTTATTGTCTTTACAACAGCCACATTGTAACTCTTCTCTTCTCTTGGTATAGTGAGATGGTGTGAGCCATGGACATAGGCAATCTTTTTGAACAACGTAAATTTACGCATCATAGGAGTGTTTACAGATGGGATTGGTCCGGTTTTAAAGCAAGCTAAGAACCAAACCGCTTCCTACAGTTCACAAAAAATTGGAACCATAATCAAACTGTTGAGTCTGTGTAATCAGAGTAGAACCGAACTAAAGAAATGGGTTTGGTTTGGTTCAATTCAGTTCTATGGTTCTAGATATTTTATATAACTTGAGATATTATATATATATATATTATAATAGTAAACAAACTAACAACAATTAGCACAGTGAGTTGGTTGAAAGTTGTCAATTTCACAATCAAGATTAGTATTTTTTGAACCTTGCTAACTGCGTCTACCCTTTTGTTTTTAAATAAAAAATATTAAACAAATATATCACGTTTTAGTTAGAACCATGACCGAAACCTTAAAACTACAAACCTGACTGATACAAACAGTTCTAGCATTTTCGAAATTAGAGCCAAAACCAAAGCTAATAAAAATTGGACCAAACTGGCAGTTTGGACCAGATTGGATCAGTTTACTAATTCCACCAGTTTTTTTTAACACACCTGTCGTGGTTGTATGCTTGTTATTGTTTTTGCTTGCCGTTGTTTGTGTGTGTGCAGTTTATTTCACACCAACATAGGGTGTGCCTTACTTGACATATAGGATATGAATAAATCAAAAACGATTCTATGTTTTGATCAACAAGAACAAATTATGCAATGGAGGGCAGAAGGGGGGGCTGGGGATGGCCACGGGCCTCGTCTTGATGATTAGAACTTATTATTTTGTTGGACATTTTGTTTATATTATTTACAAAAAAAAACTAATAAGTCAATTTGATAATCATAGTCTATTCAATTTATCGCAATTGTCTCAAAAAAAAATTAACAATGTGTTTTAAAAAATAGACCATTCATTTTCTTAACTATGACATCTTTGCTAATAATAAAATAATTAAAATTTGTTGTCAATTTTGAATGCATTAATTTTTATTTTTATTTTTGATCGGCAAAAGTCAGTTATTAGACTGTCACAATTGCATTAAAGTTGGCCCCCTCTATGTAAAATTTCTGCGTCTGCCACTGAAATTATGGGAACAATAAAACAAGGCAGTACTATATCCATGTTAGGATTCCCAAACTATTGAAGAATATAAACCTCTTGAATAAATCTAGAACTTACAGCATCTTCCCCTGAGATTACACGCTCTCTTTCCGTTCCTGCGGCCACAAAACCACCTTCATCAACTCCTGGATTACTGTCACAGTTGCTGCGACTACCTTTATCCTTTAACTTGAATTTGTGTGTTGGCAGAGCATTAATAGTTTCTTCAGAAGCCCCTCTCATTCGATTCATGTCATCACGGACACCCAAGAATGAAATAATACAAGGCAAACAGCAGCAAATCACTGAGCATAAAATGAAGGGCATAGCATACCCAATACAGCTAAATGTAAGAAACACTATACATAATCTGCAAAGAAACCAGTGAATATATCAGGTACTCAAAAGGGTGAGAACAAAAGACATGATTTTGCAGGTCATTAATATGTACCTGTACAAATTGGGAGCATCAGAAGAAGATGAATTCCCACCAAAGATCCATACATTGCCAACAACAAACCATACTGCAAAGAAGCAATCCAAGGCCATCTTTAAGTGGTCCATCAGGGCACTTAACCTGCTCAGAAGAAAGCATTTCACTGGTAAACCATACAATGGACATATCAAATCATGATAAAACTAATGCAAAGCTCACTTAATTGAACATCTAACTAGCAGTTTAAAACCAATCTAAGAACAAGAACTACCATGTTACATGGGGGGTGTCCTTTACATTATTTTTGGTGGTGGTGGTTGTTTTGTTGGGGTTGGGGTGGGCTTGGTCTATGTTGTCAGGCTTGTTGTCATTCAGCGTTATTAAAAGTGATAGGCACACTGAAGAGCCAATGTTTCCTAGGGCCAAGACGCAAGGCGAGGCACGAGCTTCATCGAAGCAAGCCTCATGTTGAGGATATAAATTAGATAATTTAATATAAGCAACTAATTCAAGATTCAACATAAGTAAAATAAAATATTAAATATTTTAAAACATAAATACTAACAAACACAAATATTTTATCATAGATAAATAATTCAAGATTCACATAAACACAAAATCTAACTCATAAATCATGAAAATTTGAAAATAGCAGCAAAATCAAAGTGTCAAACAAGATAAACATAGAGAAGGAGAAGAAGATAGAGGAGATGAAGAAGAAGAAGATCAACAATTGTTAGTCTAGTCAAAGAGAAAGCTCTATCCAACCAACGCCTTTGTATAATTAGGGCTCAAAAAGTGTTGGGTTGCAATGAATGTTTAGGGTTTGATCCCCTGTAGCCACTTGGAAACAAAATAATAATAACGCTGAAATTAAGTGAAATCAAAGGTTGTAATTGAAACAAACAAACATTTTAAACGAAGTGTACAAGTCGTGTGCCTTGAGCCTACACACACTTCATGCGCCTTTATGGGGCCTATTTTACATTGTCTGGCCTGAGAAATTCCAAAGCGCACTAACTGCGCCTTGATGAGCCTAGGTGCACCTCTAATAACACTGTCGCCATTTGTAAAGGTTTGAACATCAGAGGTTGAGTTTATTGTTCCCATCTACCGGCCATAGAAGATTTTTCACACATACCAAAAAATAAAATATTTTGTTTTGCTCAGTGCTGCTCACAAACATGAGTCGGTTAGTTCAAGTTAATACCAAACTTACCTCCATCATATGCATAAAACAAATGAGAAGGTATAGTTCTTTCATCATTATCCTCTACTTCAACTACTACCATAACAAACAAACAAACAAACAAAAGAAGCAAGAAAACACTAAGTAGTAAGGGCTAGATTGGCATGTGTTATTCTTGACATCAACACAAAAAACTCTTCCCAAGCTATTAAGAATGATTGGTACACTTTTTTGTAGGGGCCAGTTATCTTTGTTATTGGGGGGCCAGTGCTTCATCATCTTAAGAATGAAAGGGTTCTTATACTGAAACTAAAAGAAATTTCATGTGCTGGAGGCTGCCATGGTCCCCGTCTGTCTGCCAATGCCTAAGCTGCAGCGGAGAACCTAATGTTACACACAAACAAAAACCAAATAGAAAATCCAAGATACAAAAGAAACCTCATAATGTTACTCATTACCAACCAGCATTATGGTGTTCCATTAAACTACAAAAGAGCTATAACATCTAATGAACAAACATAACATAATTAGTGTTGATGCATAATATTTCTAAATACAGACAAGCTTTGCTAAATGGACTGAACAAAACAACACAAGTCACCAATGCAAATAAAAACAAATTGACACAAAAACTAGGAAACAAAAGATACATTTCATGAGTGGTAGAATTGAAATTCCAATGTACCATAACTTCACAAGGAACATATAGGCAAAAGTGTTACCTAGCATTTGGAGGTCCCATTATTTGACCAATCCTAGTGCCCGAAGATGTATTCTGACCATCTTCCTCTTCTGAGGCCCGAGTTGATGAGATAGTAATGTAAGAATTAGGTTCTGATGTAGAGTTTCCCTGGGAAGAATCTTGACGCAATTGAGTTGACCCTTGTTCAGTACCCTGGTTGCGGTGAAGATAACGCCAAAAAAGGAGGGGAAGGCTTGCGGCACACCCAACTGCGTAACCCACAATCCAAGCAAACAATGGAGTTCGTGGGTTCTCATGTCCTGAGACAGACAAAACAATAATGGCTGCAATAATTTGGCCTACAGTGAACACTAGCTCAACCGAAAGCCATACGACGGTGTTAAATGGTCTCCAACGATGACAGCCAGACCCTTCCCCTCTTCTTGTAACTGAAGAGTTCCTAGAGCTTGATTCAGATGATGAAGTAGATTGGGTGATGGGAACCACCCGAACACTATTTGACAGTCTATCTACAAGACGGGGCAGGGTTGAGCCACAAGGAGAACCATTATAGGGGGTGCTCATAGCTGACCTTCCCCGATCGTACCCAAGCTCCCGAGCCGAGACAACTCCGGTGATGACGGACATGTGGCCTTCGGCACCGAGTCAGGGTTTCCTAAATTCTCCCATAAAAAATATTTAGGTGGCGACTCTGTATCTGGCAAAGCAGTCCATGTTTGGCACTACTTTTTCAAAAATCTGTTTCTCAAAACGATTTTCCAGATTTGGACTCTTTGGTTCAGATTAAGAACCGTGACACAAATTGAGTCCGAACTGTAGCATGAGGCCCACGGGCGCTGTTACAACACCTTTCTTGCTTAGGCTTTTAACCCTTCTTGCTTATTGTTTTAAGCTTAGCTATTAACTGATAAAAGTTCTATTTTTACTTGCTTTAGACCTTTGTTTAAGGTCTCTTCTTGGTTTGGGGTTGTTTACCTCCTCCAAGGCCTTGTTAGGCCTTGTCTTAGGCCATCCCTTTTGGCCTTTGTTCTTAGCTTTACATGCCTTTCTACCACTGAAATCCAGAGGATTTTCAGTGGTGGAAAGGTGGTTTTGAGGCCTTAAATAGGAGAGGGCCATCCCCTCTCCTTGTTGTCTTGAATGCTTGCATAAATGGCTTATGTTGGTGGCTTGTATGCTTAGCTTGTGTTAGCTTTATTTCAGTGTGTATTAGGCTTTGTTTTTCCATAGTATACCTCTGTTTCAAGTTGGTTTGATGGCCTCTTATATGCTTCATATACTTGTCTTGCAATCCTCTTATTTGCCTTAATATGCATCATGTTGTAACATGTCATTCTAGCATGCTTTTGGCTCAACTCCATGAAGCATTTAGCCTTGTTGTAACATGCTTAAGCTCTGATTTGTGATTTTTTGGTCATATATGCCATGCTTTGTATAGCCATATGGCAATCTAGCTTGTTAGCTTTGAGTGTCTAAGTCACTAGCATGCTTTACTTGGGTCATTTCAGTGATTTGGCATCACTTGTTATGTTATTTTAGTCCATATAGTATGCTCATATACCTGCACTTATCACTCCTTTAATGTTTTAAGGAGTTGATGTCTTATGCCTCATGAATGGACTGTTGTGTATGCCTCCATGTTTAGGCCTCTAGGATGCCATTTCAATGTGTTTTTGGTCTTGTTCTAACATGCCATAACTCTGATTTTGGTTGCTTAAATCATACCATGTTCGGTTTTGATAGGTGTAGTGTAACACCCCTTTTGTGGCCTTGCATGTTCCATGTTTTGAGTCCACCTTTCTAGCATGTTTTGGCCTTGGCCATTGCATGTTTTAGGTTCATTTTGACATGATTTAGGATTGTTTTTGGTTATACTTGCCGTATGCTCTTTGTTTTGTGTAGCTTTGGTTCAAGTCCCTTTGGTAGTCTTAGGCTTTAAGTCTTATGCATGCTATGATTGTGATTATATGTGTGATTTGGCATCATTTCTAACATCATTTCAGAGCATGTAGTGTTGTCACACTTGCATACTTTTCACTCTTTTAAGTGTGCTTAACAGTTGTGTCTTCATGCCTAGGTGATAGGCCAATTAGTATGCATGTTTGTATATGCTTTTGTCCCTCATTGCTTAGCATTTTGGCCACTGATTTAGGCATGTTTGAGAGCTGTCCATGTTGGTTTAAGTCCATTTTCGCATGTTGTTGCATGCTTGCCTTGCACGTTGTTGCATACTTGGCCTATTGCATGTTGTTGCATGCTTGGGTTATATTGCATTTGGCATGCCTTTTGTTAAGTTGCTTTGCATGTTTGCATGCTAGTCCCATTGCATGTTGTTACATGCTTATCATTGGCATTGTTGTTACATGCCTTGCATGTTTACTTGTTTAGGTTGTATGCCTATTGCACATTTCTTGCTTGCATGCTCATGTTGCATTAGCTTGCTTGCATGACTAGGTTGCATAGCATTATGCATGCATCCCTTGCCTCTTGATCAAGCATGATAGAGGTTGGGGCCCCTTATGTGTTATGCACATTTCATTTGATATAAATTGCACACTTGGCACCTTTGGCCATCATGCATTGAAATGCGTAATTAGTGGCCCGAGGGTCGAGAACCATACTCCCTTGAGCTCATGACATGATAGGGAGGGTGGTTGTGCATACATTGCCTTGAAAATGTATTGCCATGCTCTGTTTGTCCTTTGCTACAAGAACAGGAGCTTTTCACAGGAAGAGATGGTCGATCGACCACATTCAGTGTAGATCGGCAACAAACACTTGGCCAATGTCCTTATGTTTGGTCGATGACCAATTTCCCACGGCCGATGTCCATATCTTTTGGTCGACGACCTCCCACAACACTCAGGGAGTGGTTCAGAAGCATCCTTGACACTTTTGCAGTTTTTAGAGGTGCAAGTAGTGCAAACAGAGGCAACATGTGGCATGACGACGAATTTCCAAGCGAAGCCGACTGAACATGCATGCATCCCTTTTCCCGAGGTTGTTTTACTGTTTTCATAGCTTAATTGATTCATTTAATTAGTAGTGTTGTGTAATAATTAATTAGCTTGTTAGTTAGTTAATTAGGCGATTTGTATTAATCTTTCGGACCCTCCGTCGAGGGGGCAGATTTTGTAATAAGCGTGCGTGCGTGTGTGAATGTCTTCCAACCCCACATTTTTCTTCCTTTTATTTACCTACTTACGATGGGTAGTTTAGGGTATATTTCAATTAGCATACTTATGCTTGCATTCGTGCATCCATTCATCTGTCTTGCATGCACCGGGCTTGGCGCATCATACAAACTGCATTGTATTTCAATACCGATTTGAATATATGATTATCAAATGTTGCATTTCACATGACATCTTAGAATAGCCGAGCCTATTCCTAGTTGCATTTTGTATGTGTTGCATTAGCCATCTTAGCATAAACTAGGATCAAGCATTTGATTACTAACTAGCTATTGTTTTGGCTCAGAGTACTAGGTAAGCTTTTATGCTTTAGCATCTTGCATGAGTGTGAGTGTTAACATGGCCGCATGCTTGCCATGAGGCTAACAGCTTATATGATATAACTGTCTGAATGCCTGTGGGTAAAGGTTAGATTACTTGAATTAGAACAATTCATTGAAATGCGAGTTTTAAGCCTACTTAAGGGTGGCAAAATATTGTTTTCAAAGCCCACTCAAGGGTGGCAAATTCACTTCTTAGCCTATTTGCGAGTAGCACCTTCAAACCATTTTCAAACAAACGAACATGAGATGTTTTGTTCCAACTTAGGCAGTCTAGTCTATACTTGCGTGTTGTGTGCATCACATAGTAATTCTAGCTAATAACCGGAATAAGAACACATATGTTTTCAAAACAAAATATCATGCTTAGTACAGGCCGATCCTTTGATCGGGCGAGCGGGGGTGCTCATTGCATGACCTTCCCCTCTCGTACCCAAGTTCCCAAGCCGAGGCAACTTTGGTGATGACGAACACGTGGCCTTAGGCACGAGTCAGGGTTTCCTAAATTTCCCAAAATAAAACATTTAGGTGGCAACTCTGTATCTGGCAAAGCAGTCCATGCTTGGCACTTCTTTACAAAAATCAGTTTTTCAAAACGATTTGCCAGATTTGGACTCTTTGGTGATTTATCAAACTCACATTACACATTGTGAGATCAAATTAAGAACCGTGACATTTGAGTCCGAACTGTAGCACAGCATAAAGCCCCTTGGGGCACGTCTACAGTTTCTGGCGACTCTGCTGGGGATTTAGTGAACTTGACTTGAACTCATGATATCTTTTTGTGATTACATTTATGTGTCTCTTTGCATTGCATTTGCATTGGTGCGCCTAGGACGTCGTGTTTGCCATATGCTATTCTTGAATGGTTTGCCGAAGGCATGCTTTGAGAAGTGCACCATAAGGCTGACCGGTTGCGGGCCCTGCCACGACGGGAACACAAACCTCGATTTTCACCGAGGCACCCTCTTTGACCACTCGACCTAGTGCATATTGGAATCCATAATGACTATTACAAACTAGGACATGTTGCTTACCCGATTGTAGGTTGTTTGAAAACCACTGTGTGCGTAGTGAAACCTTAGCTCCTGACAATAGGACAGGGAAACCCTACCCCTACATAGGGGTGTTTTGGCTCTTACTTGCTTGATATGTTCTTTTAGAGTTGGCCTATACAGGAATGCACGCATCAGCTTGCAAATCTGGGTATCAGGCTTGAGCGCATCGGTATTTGGGAATCAGTTTTACCTGAGGGTATCAGTTTACAGGCAAAATTTTGGGTAGAATTCAGCAGAGAGTGCAGTCATTCAGCTATGCTCATATCTATTCCGGTGAAATCAGGCTGAGATGCTGTCTGTTTTCTTTTTTTGCAAGGTAGTTGTGGAATTATAGCTTCAGAAGGCTTCGGTATCCCCCGAGTGCATTGAACCTCTGTTGATAGACTTTGTCAGGTCAGTGATTCAGTTTAGAGCAGCCAGTGTTTTCCTTTGCTGAGGCGAGGCAGAGAAAGACCAGTCAAGGCTCACCAGTTCATCTGATCCGTCAGTCACCAGTCACATCACCTCTATTCAATTCAGCAGACTCATGATGATTTAGAGTTCCAAAGAAATTGTGGCCATGACAACGGCATTAAACCAGGGAAGCCCCAAGCAAGGTCAGACCAATGCTGAAATGCAACGCCCATTTAGGGCATCTACCACACATCTAGACTCGGGATCCCAAAAGAACTTTGACCCACTCCCGCCAGCTGAAGATTCGCATGTGTAGACGCGCCCGCGTGGGCCCTCGCTACAGTTTGGACCCGATTTGTGTCACGGTTCTTAATCTGAACCAAAGAGTCCAAATCCGGAAAAATCGTTTTGAGAAATAGATTTTTGAAAAGAAGTGCCAAACATGGACTGCTTTGCCAGATACAGAGTCGCCACCTAAATATTTTATTTTTGGGGGAATTTAGGAAACCCTGACTCGGTGCCAAAGGCCACGTGCCCGTCATCACCAAAGTTGCCTCGCCCCGGGAGCTAGGGTACGATTGGGGAAGGTCAGCTATGAG